CGGACACAGCTGCCCCCTCAATCACGGCGCAAATTGCGATACGCATGCCATCAAGGCTGCTAAGCAACAAGTTCGCAGAGAACAGCTTCCAGATGCAAAATCTTACGTTTCGTAATTAACTAAGTCCTTCGAAGACGTGGCAAAAGAACACAACGTTCCTTATCCCTTTAAAGTCGAAGCTCATCTAAATAACATATAAGAGAATTCAGTCCGTACCGCGAAGAAAACACCGCACTTCACCATTACAAAGATCAACTGGTTAACGCTGTTTAAGGAAATAATCGCTGTTTGCAGTGAGAATCATTCGAAACCCATAAATACAAAATGAAGAAATGTTGACTTTTGAAGCAGGTAGGGCGCAATAGTTCCCAGTGGGCTTTAAAGGATTAATAATTTAAGAGCAGAGTAATGTTTGCTACGATTCGTTTCAGAATCTTCATCTTCCTCCAAAAAACATCAAGATTAAAATGTACAAAAATGTAATTTTACATCTTGTTTTCTGTGGGTGTGAAACGTGGTCTCCTATCGTATGGGAAGGACACGCTGGTATATGTGAACAGAGTCCTCAGGGGGAACACGTGGCCACGTGGTTGGAGAAAATTACGTAATGACAAAGAGCTTAATTTTATTTTTTAAGGGAAAGGTCGGTTGTCCACTAGTATGTCTGTGTATTTATTTTAAGTCTGTCCAGGTTGTAAGTACGCAGTCCACTAGCTAATTAAGTTTCGTTCCAGAAATGCCATCTGGGCGTTAAGATATATTTGTATCAAATGCACATCGTGACCATTGAAGTACGCATTATCTCAAGGAAAGAATTTTGTCTCATTCCGGCGATGAACACCGCCTCAGATAACAATCCACACGCGAGTCAACATCAGGTTTCGAAGCCCAAAACACAGATGCAAGATTTTAGGTTCCAGGTGCAAGCAACCGTCTTTCTGAAGGAGGGACCCTTATTTCTTAACCAAAAGGGCCGGATGTTGTTATTGGCAGACTTTGCATCGGCCTCTTAAGCTGTGACGTCACGTTTTGTCTGTCTACAATGCAGGTCGGAATGAATTACCACGTTTAAAAGTGCAGCTTCATTTCTAGAAGCTACGTCTCAGGTTCGGGTCCTGTTAGTGTCACAGTTGTCCACAGATTTGGTGCTTTGCACGTGGTTTCCTCACCAAAAGTCCACACCTCCGAAACGTCTGTCAGTGTCTTCCAGACTACTCGGCGCAGCATCCCAGAAGACAGCCTAAGTTATTCCTGAGAAATGAGAGAAGTACTTAAACCGACAGCTTCCACCCTGCAGAAGCACTTACGGGGGTTGAAACACAACCATAAAGCACTGGTCTCCTACTAAAGAGTTTTGGGTTCAGGACCAGATAATTGTGGTAGAACTTTAGGCGACAGAACTGAGTTCAGTCAATCTGAAACGGGCCACGTGACTGATCCCTGCAGACATTTGTTTATAATACACGCTTAGCACACGTGTAGGATAAGTCGTCGAAGTAGCAAGGCGTTAAAGAATGTAATTGCCAATTCATTATTCATTTGACGCTGTATGGTATACGCCATTGACTGCATTAAATTATTAAAAAAATAAAATATAACCGATGAGAAATCGTGGCTGAACGTTGTCATAGAGACGCGTAGTGTTTTCTTTGAGGTGGAAGCTGATAATTTTTAAACCCCTTGATCTGTTGTGACAATGTAATGAATTACAGATCACGTCAGAGTCGCTGAACTAAGACACCATTTCTTGGGGTCTCCTTAATAGTAACGAACGTCAAAGAAAGAACCACTCAGCGTCGTCGAATTGGTCTGACGATCACATGATTTGTCATGAAAGTTTCGAGATCTGTAGCTTATGATGTTTCTCACATTATGGCGCGCGGTCCATATGCTGCCGTGGGGCTCGCGATCTGACAGGAAGGGCCTCTCGTCTTTGACATGCGAGTGGTACTACTTAAAAAGAAAAATTACAAGGAAATCTGAGATAAAAAACCTGCCATGCGACAAAGGTTAGCAGGCCTCTTTGCGCATGCGCTGCAGCACACATGCAAGATGTGAGTAACCTACGCACGATACTACCTGTACCACAAACATCAGCTGCATAGGATAACCTCATCTCTCGCTTTCCCTATGAACCCCGATCCGTATTACAAACGTCTATTCTCGAACTTAACGGTAAAGTGGTTAACACTCCTTCGTTTTCATGAGGTCGCGCGTTCAAGTCTCCGTTCTGAAACCGAAAATCCCTCCACGTAAATATCAGGACATAACCTTAAATCTGATCACGGGTGTTCCCTTCCACATTCCCACCATTTCATTATTCATCCTGTCATTCAGTAGGATTTGAGGTATTCACGGCGGTGAATCCGATGTCAGCGCCGTGTAGGGTGGTAGAAGTTTACCAACGTTTCAGAGGTCCTTGCTGCCTCCATCATCAGGGCGATGAGCCATTCGACCCTGAGCAGCTTACAGTGTCTCAGTCCGAGTGTTAATTATGGAAGAGACAAGGTTTTCTCGGGATTATCGAATTCGTGTCGATTGTGGCTACCGACGTTTCGGAGGAAAGTATCATCGCCTCCAGAGGCTATATTTCAACCGAAACTTACATAATCACGGCATCACAACCCACAAGCGCATCTAAGAACAGATTGGAGTAATTCTCACATGGTCATGCAGATTCTGCTTTGGCCTGGTCGATACACGCAGAGTGACGTTGTCTAGTTTGTGTGTCCGGATAGTATGACCCCTCTCACCTCCCCCCCCCCCCCCCCCCCGCCACTACTTTCTACCATGGCACAGGGCATGATATAGGCACCTGGCTCCCCAGACCACGGCTCACACCGTGTCCATCCTTTGCCAGGTGTGTTGCTGCTTCACCGGCGTCATCCTTAACCTAAAAGTGTTGTACTTTTTTATATTTGAATTTCGAATTCTTGTGTCGTGTGCGGTTATCAGAAAGTGACTCTGTGGTCACCTTTGGTGTCAGAACTTGGTAATTCACTTCTTTCATGGTATACAAGCGTTCATTATCGTCTTCACAAAAGCGACTCTTTATCGTGGGACTATTTAAACGAGCATTTGACATCCAGTGCGTCTGTGATTTGTGACGTGAGGCGGGGTTACCGATAATTCTCTAAAGCTGTCCCATACTGATGTCAACGCCGAATGGCATGGGGAATGTGAGATAGCTTGGACACAGACGACGTTGTGGGGGTTATACGAACATTCATATTTGTCGGGGCATGAGAATCCCGTTAACGAAGTGACGATGTTGTGCGGGAAACTTGGGCGAAGACGCAGCTCTCTCGATAGTTCCGATGCCTACCGCCTGCTGGCGCCACTACACCGGTGTTCGAGTTGTGGCCGGAAATTCCCCCGGAGCAAGCAGATCCTGTCCAAGGTGAGGTGTTCGTCTCTCTAGTTCAATAGGTACAGTCCAAGACACTTGCAAGGAATGCAGGAAGTCCGAAGCGTCGAAGGCTCTAGATTACAGTCGCGTACTGTACTGGGCTATTTATTATTGATGGGGTGGGTCCGCCTCACCTATCCTTTGCTGCATTGTCATTGCGATGTTAATTTGTTCGACGGATTTAATGACCGCGGAGATTATAAGACGATATTTCGTGGCTGCCTTGCGGGATGTAGGTAGCACTTTAAGAGAAATTTCTCCGTCCTCATATCCGTCCGTCATTGCCCCTCACCAGTTGATGTGTCGTCTCTTCATGTGGAATGCGTCGCGGTGGTGGTTCAAAGGTTTCATTGCGTTCTGATGGGGTTCAAGCGACCGAAACGATCCGCTCAGTGGTTCATGTCTGGCGGGAAGACGCTTGAGGCGTGGCGATGCATTGTACCACCCTCAGACAGACAGACAGACAGACAAGGGAAGCTGAACGTATCCTAACCGTTCCTTCCCGTCACGCCTCGTTTCTGTTAAGATATTTCAAGCATTATTCTCCCAAGCTGTCTTCCCTTTGTGCTTTTCGGATCAAAATTGCGTATACATTTTTTGTTTCCCCTCTATTTTATCCTTCGTCGCGTGCTATAATATTTATTTTATCCTTCGTCGCGTGCTATAATGTGCATCATTTGTTTCCCCCCCGAGGTTACACGGTTCAAGTCAGAAACCCAGTTAACCTGCCTCGGGTGTACGGGATATTCTTCAGTCTCTCCTTTTTTTCGTAAGGTTTCACGGCCCATTATTAATTTTATGTCTTCGTTTGCACCAGGCTACAAGGCATGATGCGTCCCTTATTAATTGTGACAACCTCGACACTTGGTACGAAGTCGTTAATCAATTTACACGTGTTCCTGATTGCGTTGTAGTGGTTGGCACTCCTGATTCCCAATCAGGACGCCCCAGGTTCGAATCAAGGCCCTTACATTGTTTATTTTCCATGAGATTTTAAGTTTTTACTCGGCCTCTCCAGAAGAACGCTAAGATATCTTAAAACAGGCCACTTTCACGCAATTTCTAACCTAACCAATCGATGCTATATAACTCGTGGTGTCGAAAAGGCGTCGTTAAATGACACAAGCACCGGTCGTCAGTGTTTGCGGCCATGACAGCTAGCTCGTACCACGCCCCGAGCAATTTCAATTAGCGACCCGCGTGCTCAGGGCACTGCTGTCAGCTTTACAGCGAGGGTGAGCCATCCCTAGAGAGGGAGAAATCTACCCCTGTACTTGGTCGGGGATCGAAAGCTTACTCCCCTGCCTGGGCACCTGTTGGAACAGCACGATCGATTTCAGAAACCGGACTGAGGCAAACGCTTCATACCGAATTAATATGATTTTTTATTTACGGTAAACTTCAGCTATCAAATGGTACCATAATATCTATACACCGGGGTAAAACAACCGGAGCTCGAAGCTGGCTTGAATGGAAACAACAAATTATTTCGGGCCGTGCACCGCGATCTCCATGGTGATTAGCTATGCAAGAATGAACATTAATAAGGATAATTAAGTTTTACGTTTCACACACTCGTGTACTAATTTACCTGGGATCTCGAAAGCCACGATTCCAGCAGCAAACGCAGAAGGGGCGGTTTGTTGGCAACACTGGCGACTGGAGTTGGAAAAGCGTCTGGCCTCCCTCATGTCTGGAGATGTGATTTCCGCTCACAGCATCATCCCACACTGGAAACAGAAAGCAGGGGTCATGGTTTCCCTTGTATAACGGCACATACACACACACAGAATTGAACTGACCCCAGGCGAGTACACGTGGGGTCCCTACTCTTCAGCCAAAGTGAATGTCCCGAGTTTCCGCATTAAAAATAATTTAAGCCTAATAACCAACCGTCCATACTCAAAACGGACTTACTTTTCACGCGTCCTTAGCACAAAAGTACGTAAATTAACACGGACTGCGAAAAACGGACTTACTTTTCACGAAAGTACGTAAATTAACACGGACTGCGACATCTTGAGATTTTACGTCCTTGTGATTGGTTTACAAGACTAGCGAAGTAGTAAATTTGTCGCCAAGTGCACAGTCACAAATATTATCCCCCAATGCCCAGAATCCTTTAATAGCGTTGCCATGGCATCGGTAAAACGATCACCGCCGAACTTTATTTATTTATACCCAATATACACACACAGAATAGACAGGATTGTGATTACGTGTGTGTCTAAAACATTTTCGGGCGGGTTTTATTTTGGTTACAGTCAGCCCGAATATAAAAATTCTTACAGTACAGGAAGTCCAATCGAAATATACACACGTTCTCAAAAATGGTAGTCGTGGTACAAACACTGGGGCAGAGCTTATTAAAACCTTAAATGTGTTCAAAAATCTTAAGATTGACGAATATTAATGAAATACAACGAAAAATGGTTGTTTTATATTTAGTGGCGTTATTTGTAATTCTGCTGGTTTTCGAATTCCAGATTTATATCTCAATAACTGAACAATCCATCTAAATAAAATAAACAATATATTCTAATATTTAATCTATCAAGAAATTCCATGCTTTGTGGTGCCCTAAGGTTCAGTACCATGCAAAAGCCCCCCAGTAGACCCTATCTACAGCTTCACGCCGTTTTAATATTATCCTGTCATCGACGCTTGGGTCTCCATTTCATTCCCACCCCCACCCCTTGATTAAAACGCTGTCCATTTTGGACAAACATTTAATGGCCTGGAATGACACCGACAAGGGAAATCCGAAGGACTCGGAGAAAAACGTGACCCAGCGCCGCTCTGTCCATCACTGTCCCCACAGCGAGCCTTAAACCCGGTCCTCCCGACTGGAGCTTGTGCTCAATCGCACTGCGCGACGCGGAGCAGCTCCGGACGGATCGCCTCGCCTCATCTCCCGCTCACTTCAGTTCCGTCCAGAACTTCCGGGTGAGAGGAGCGCGCGCGAGTGAGTTGCGGGTGACATGCGCCACTCTTGCTAGAACGCAGTCATGTCGTGGCTCCGGAGAGCCTCCGAGCCGTCCGCCTTGGTCCGGGAAGACAGCAGCGGCAGTGACATCGCCGTCCTGGCATCCACCGACGACGAGGAAGTGGACGAGGGCATGGTACTGTGTTGTTATTGAGCGTTTGTTTCGGGTGGGGGTGGGGGGGTACTTTTTGAAATTCTGCACGAAACGCGAATTAAGTGGTGCTCTTAGAGCGGTCGGATCAAAGTGTCCCTCTGATCACTTGATAATCCTGGCTTGGACAAGCAGACTTCATCAAAGCATGTGCGTACAGGACGTTTAGAAACAAAAAGTGGCGAACCGAAAAATGGACACGGGGAATACCAACAGAACCAACCGGAATGGAGCAGGGTCGTTCTTAAGAAACTAACTGTACGCTCAGCTATTCAAAGAATTTGCGACCTTTCTTAGAAACCGAAGTTTCATTACCGTGTTCACAACAGCTCGCCACTGGTCCCTGTCCTTAGCAAGATCAATCCAGTCCACACGCTCCCAACCTACTTCCATTTTAATATTATATTTCCATCTACCACGTTTCCCCGCAAACGCCTTCGATCTGTGTTCGGCTCGCGATTTGAGGTACCAAGTTTCACACCAGTACGAAACAACAGGTAAAATGTAGCTTTATTTTATTTTCATCTTTGCGCATTAAGAGGGGTGGGGGTGGCATTACAATTTAACTTGATGGGGAGGTGGTTGTAAAAATTCCCAGCACTCTGACGGGAATCGATCCCACACTCTGTATCCAAATGGCTATGATTACATCAAGAATTTTGACAAGGGCAGAACATTATGAGAGACGAGAAAATTTAAAATAGTCACTTGGGAGATAAAGATGCAGTTAAGGCCGATTTTCAAAGAGAACTTTGGAATACGTAGAGAGAATGTGAAGTGAAAAAGTTTCATAACAACGCAACTCAAATTCCACAACAGCAGGAAATTCGACTGCTGAATAACTATTTAAAAGCAGAATCTCGTCCAAATAATATTTAAGAATTCAGTCCGTACCGCGAAGAAAACACAACTCTTCACCATTACAAAGATCAACTGGTTAACGCTGTTTAAGGAAATAATCGCTGTTTACACTGAGAATCATAGTTCGTCTGATTAATATTAAAGAATTCAGTCCGTACCGCGAAGAAAACACAACTCTTCACCATTACAAAGATCAACTGGTTAACGCTGTTTATTCTGAGAAACATACGAAACACGTAAATACACGCTGTGGGCAAAATGCAGAATTACTATTTGTTGAAGCAGTTAGTGCTGTGCTTTGAAGAGTCGCAGAGGGAGTCAACCAGAACTTAACCTGTTTTAACATGCAGCGCGCGGTCCTAATAGACGGCATCATCCATTTTGAAAGCTCTCTCCATCAGCAGAGCGTTCGACGTGACACACTCGATTGTTTGAATGGTTAAGGAGGCATGAGGCTGTGTGGAGTGGTTTTTCTATCAAGTGATGTGAACACAACGCACGCCTGCCACTTCCACCCAACATACTCACTCGGCGTTGCTTTTAATTAAGCTCGTTCCAAAGAAAGAAAGAAAGAAAAAGAAAAGAAAAATTCCTTGCTTGTCTCTTAATAACTCGTGAACACAGTGGCTTATTCTCACGAAACACAGCGGGAAATATTTATTTAGGAACGTGATTCTCTTCTGTTATATTAACGTCTGGTCTTAGGTTTTCTGGCAAAAATCTTGTATCCGTTTCTCACACGCACTTGGCCTCTTGTGCGTGGGTCATATCCATCCTCGTTGACTTGAGAAACATTGGTACTGTATCTACCCATAAGTCCACACGGCGTCACAACCCAGAGAACCAACATCCGACCCCTTCACCTCAAATCTCACTAGGGTTTCATACCTCAGGATTGGTCCTGTAGCGAGTTCTTGTGACATAAAAGGCAGCTGATTGACTGTCAGTTTCTCGAGAAGCTGGAGTTAGCTGGGAGACGTAGGTATATTGGAAGATAATATTAAGATACAGAGGACAACATATGAATATAGACCGAATTAAACTTACTCAGGATATGGCCCAGAACGTGGTATTAATCCTTTGCTATGCATAAAAGGTGGTAAACATCTTAACCAGCTGAACGACCTTCAATGAAGCCTCAGCCTGATATTCTAAAAGTCTAAATACTATGCATACTGTAGTCTAGCAACATAGGGGCACGCCACAGATGGCGTGGCGTTCATAGAGGATATTTCGGGAAAACTTTCACCCTTAATTGCCACCCTTCCTCTGCTGTCAGCCAGAAACAGCCCCTCACTCGCTCCATCATTGACACTGTGTTAAATTTGTACGTACAGTCCTACCCAGAAATTGTTAACTCCGCGTGAAATTGTTTCGGGACGTTTCTGCCCTTGTACACAAGATTCGTGCCTTCTTCAGGACTTGATTTTGCGGATCGTTGAATGAACTGACCGACGAAACAGAAACCGAGAATGGAAGAAAGCTGAACGTACGTATTCAGTAACAGTGAGATGAAAAAATTCTCTGTCTGTGCTTAATTTTACACCACGGCTTGAGGATGTGTGAGGGAGTGGAGGTATAGCTCCACGCTAGGAGGCGGGTGGCCTCGCTCTGATGGTGTACAGAAAGAGATGCCATTGTGCCTTAAGATTACAGCTCGGCCCTGTAACGATACTGGGGTCACTGAACCAGGATGGTTACGTCAGAGGGGCTGGAAGGGGGGGGGAGGCGGCGCCCTTGAAGCCCCGGGGGCCGCGTCGCGACGTCGCAGTTGGGGTATGGCCCGGGTCATTACAGCTCGAGGTCAAGGATGCGAAAGGTCATAGGGGCGAATGACACTTCTCGTGGTGGGAATATGAAAGGAGAACGCCACTAGCGTTGAGGTGACAGTGGAGCTAACAGCCCTGTCCGTTTGGCGTATTGTGGGAGATACTCGAGAAAACAGCAGATCTCATATGAACAGTCAGCGTCGTATAAAATCTCTTACTTTTCGTTAGCAGGCCATCATAAGGAACTGGTATGTTCGCCATATTTATAAAACTGATTTAACTAGTTCGTGCTGCGACACCCTGTATTTCCTCCAATGTGCGCCGAATCCAACCCCGCCCCCTCCCATCTGGACTCTTACCCCTCTCACTGGAGCCCTTATAAAATTTCCAGGCATTCCTTATAAATTTAAGTCGCCGAAATCTTGGTCTCGGGTCCGTATAATTTCCCCGAGACGTCGGTTGGAGAGCAGAGCTCTGCATTGTCGATCTGTTGCCGACGGGCTGGAGGGGGGAGGAGAGAGATCGGGCGATCGATCCAGCTGGAGCCGTCTCCTGCACACGATCACCGACTAATCGTCAGTCAGAAAGTCTGCATAAGCAAAGGAGCACCCAGGAGCGGGTTTTATACACCGCGTTACGATATTCGGCCATTCTGATTGAAAAGTTTATGGTTACTCGGCTGGTCATGATTTTTTTATGGAATCCCTGCGTTCATTACCATATTCACAAAATCCCGCTACTGGGACGAATTTTGAGTCTGTTGTACGTTAACCACAACTTGGAGCCATATTTTAACATGCGTTTTAATACAAGGCAATTATCCGGCAAGAATGGAGGGAAAATCTAAAGCAGTAGAGACACATAGTCATTAATATTATCCCAACATCCCTTAACAGCAAAACTTGCCTCTTACGTATGGGACTTTCCCAGTCTGCCGTCACTTACTCAAATACTCGGAAAACTAGTTAATTCTTATTTTGTTTAACACCGCCTCATCAACTGTAGATGCCATATAGTGTCAAATACTATTTTAAGTTAGTCGTGACCTATTTCAAATTAATATCCCGAAACTGGACTGGCGAAACAGAAACATGGCGGCCTCGGGATATCCGGTAGACTCTGGATCGGTACCGCTAGGCAAACCTGCTCGGTAATGTGAGTCTGTATGTCGACATTAACATTGGATTGGAACGAAACTAGGCTACAATTGGTTGTATCAGGTGGACAAGATACTTGTTGTTGCGTTTATCGCTGTAAAATTTCAGCTTCTATGGATGAGTCGCGTTGGATTTTGAAAGTTTTTCGACGTTGCGGTAAGCATTGCAGTTACCGACTCCAGAATGATTGTGTGCTGGAAGTTTCAGGAAGTCCTTCTGAAGAAGGCAGAAAAAATTGACGGAGGGGATACGTCCCTCTGGAACGTTGGCAGTCTGCATTGTCAGCTCGCGGTTTACTCATCACCCCGATGATGGAGGCAGTAAGCACCTGTGAAACATTAATCATTATCTAACCAGACAACACGGCACAAAATCCCAGAAGGCAGCCATATTTACACTCGTCGCCGTGAGAACCTGAAATACCACATTTTACCATTCTGTGCTGTAAAAGACACGCAATTAAGGCGTCGTTAATCAACCAGTCAGTCAGAGAGGTGGGCAGGCCGGAAATCACAATGGCAAACCTCCGTAGTACGGAGACCATGTTCAGGGGGGCTTCTGACTCGCAGTGCGCATGCCCGAGATTCATCCTCGCTTCGCGGATTCAGCATCCCTCACTCACTCAGTCTGGTCGTGACGTCACTCGACGCCGTGTGTGTGTCTCCATCTTCACCCCTGCGTTGGACACATCTCATCCCTCCAGAGGGTAGGTTGGGTCACGTGGTATGTGTGGTTGGTGGGTGGGTGGGTCACTGCCCGGTCCCACTGCGACACAGCGTCGTCGACACTTCGCTGTAAAGAATGCCTGTCACGAATACCTGCTTCCGGACGCAAGATAAAGTGTGAAGGACCAGCCGTGTTCTGCCACGAGACTGACTTGTGTCCTGTCTTCTGGCAGCAAAGGACTCCGTTCATGAATTACCAGTGTGAGCAAGTCTTACCTTAAACTGAACGTCGTTCACTATTTAGTCCAATTAAAAATCAGTTGCTGCTATGAATAAGGCATTCGGCCTTCCAGTAATGAGCGAGCCAATTGCTTTCGTCTTAACATCATTTGGAAGAAAAGTGCTGGATGGTGACGTATAAACCGACTAGAACATTGAAGTGGTTAATCAACTGAAGAAGCTTGTTTTTATTTATTTTTACTGGTGACGATGACTCTTCTGGGATGTTGCACCATTTAGTCAAGGCCCCGATGACGGAGGCTGCAAGTACCTCTGAAACGTCGGTAAAGTCTACCAGACTTCATGGCCCAGCATCTCAGAAGGAAGCCATGAGAACCAGGGATCTGACTTTCGTGTCACCGGTCATTTTTATGCACAAAAATCAAGAGTCGCAAGTCAAGGAAAGGGGCCACATGGAAGACCTAAGTATGAATGGAATGATGAACTGGGTCTTCAATAAACGGTGTGTAAGAAGAGCATGGAATGGATTCGACTGACGGAGAGAAGGAAGTCAATAGTGAGCTTCGTATCGCAGTAATGAACCTTTTGAGTTCTTAAAAACAAAACTTCTCGTAACCTCCAACCCAAGAATGCTCCTGTATCTCATGTACACAGATTCGTGGTGTGAACTACAGAGATGATTTTTTATGTTCCTGTATTTCCTGATATGATTAAGAAGGTTGACTCAAGTATTGATGTTGATCTTCTGGGTTGTAATGCTATGTGAATTTGTAGGCAAGACACTAACAGTTTAGAGAAACATACTGCCTCCATCCTCAGCACTACTATTTCTTTAAGTTGCATCTTAATATCAACCATCGATTTGCTGATTCCCTTATACGTGGTTGTACGTCCCACACATTTGTCTGATAGTTACGCCAATAAATCCTGAATAAACATCGAAACAATTATTTACATGAATTACCTTTCTGTTGTAGGGGTTGGACAATGTGAGCTCTGGGGCACTGCGCCCCCTCAACTCGGACCTCAACACACCCCGCATAGACAGCTACCGCTTCTCCATGGCCAATCTGGAGGGTAAGTATTAACGCAAATTTTGATGAAATTCATAGCAGTATGTCTGGAATATACAATGTGGCCTTTTGCCAGGTTTGTTATTCTCGTAATTATAAATTAAACAGACGCTTCGAACAAACGTAAGTTTCCATAATGATGGGATGTTCTGTAAACAGACTACGACGCTTGCGCCCGACTGATAACCTCTGTTTTCAGACTCTCAGGATGTTGATCTGGATGCCATCTTGGGCGAGCTTTGCGCATTGGAGAACCAGTATGACGCTGCACTGACGGGTGGGAGGAACATTTCCCAACATCCAGGCCCCAAGAGGACTTCTGTACCCAATACAGGTCAAGAATCGATTCATCCCTCCACAATTTTAATTTCAGTATAAGTATTGAAAAATAAGAACTTGCTTTGTCGACAGCCTCCGATCATATCTCCATACCAGATTTCTGCGCTGCATAATTTTCCAGAGTGGCATATTCTGTATTTTATGTTTTGTGGGGATCACACGCTCACTTGCCGTTAAGGTAGTCTCCTTATGTTTGACATCGCTGTTTAATAGTGGCGCCAGGTCGCACTCAAAGAAAGGAAATGGGGCGCACTGTCCTTGGCTTGGATATACACGAGTTGTGTTCTGTGCAGGGATGGACAGAGGAATTCAGCACCAGTCGCTTCTGCAGCAGCATCGGAGAACGCACTCCCGTTCCAGCTCCGAGGGCAACCGACTGCTGAAGCTAGATCCTAGTGATACGGACCCACTAACAAAAACTGAAGGCGGTGAGACACCATTGCAAACCGTTCGTTCCCTCACAATTGTGCCTGACTGATGATATATTCTGCTACACTCGTCTTGAGAGCTAATAATGTTAACTTTGGTTTCAGGTGTTCGGACAGAGAGCCCCGACAATGACTCCGCCTTCTCGGACAATGTGTCCATGTTATCGAGTGAGAGCTCTGCCTCCAGTGGCGGTAGTGGAGGTCGCGCTGACCCTGGTGGCAAACCCAGTGGACTCAACTTAGCACCTTCTCCCACTCAGGTAAACGATAATTACAATCCAATATTAATGTACCTTCATTAAGGTTTTAATTATTTACCCTTTTATGGTTGCAGAACAGATCTGCGCATCACGCTATAAAGCGTGTCTCACGTTATTATGCAGGTGGCCGTCGGTCATATTACGACACTTCTGTTGCCTCTCCCGAAGTGCACACAGAAGAGAGAATTGCAGCATTATGCGTCATATTATGCCTACATTTGAAACTACTAATTTTAGGTTTCCGTCTGCAGATTATTCTGACATGTCCTAGAAACCACAAAATGCAGCTAGAATTATGCTGCCACCTTGTCTTTTTAGCACTATATCTGTATTTGTGATGCTAAATTTTGCCGGTTCACTATCGTCAAAGGAATCGGAGTCACGGTGGTTCTGTGGCTCTTATTATCTGTTGTAATTAATTCTGTCGCCAATGACTGCCCACAGCAGGACGCTGCAAGTCGTGCCAAAGCAGAGAAGATCCGTATCGCCCTAGAGAAGATGAAAGAGGCAAGTGTCAAAAAGCTGTTCATCAAAGCATTCTCAGCTGACGGAAGTACAAAGAGCCTCTTGGTGGATGAAAAGATGACTTGTGCCTATGTGACACGCCTCCTTGCGGACAAGAATCACGTCCATATGGACCCCAAATGGGGAATTGTGGAGCACCTGCCCGATCTGTACATGGGTAAGTCGTGACAGTGATCCATTTATGGCTCTGACGATCGTGAAGTATTCCCAGCTGAAGCTAAAAAGTATTTGGGCAAATGGATGTATTAAAATGGTACTTCGCTCCTGTTTGCCAGAACGAGTGTATGAGGACCACGAGCTTCTGGTCGAAAACCTCATGATGTGGACCCGAGACTCAAAGAACAAGCTCCTCTTTTTGGAGCGGCTGGATAAAACTGAACTGTTCTCCACACCCGAGAACTTCCTCCTCAGCCAATCTGACCGCAGTAACACAGACTTCGATGACCATGCAAGGGCCATATTGCTAGAGGTAAGGGGGGGAGGCAGTAATAGTTCCTACCCATTCTTGGCCTTAACACTAGATGGGGATGAGTGGTCAGCTTCATGCTTTGGCCACACTTTACCCTCAAGGAAAGGACGCCCATTACCCGTTGGATATGAGGCAGGGTCGACCCAAGACCTGGTCTGAATGCATTAATCATAGTTAAATAACTCACAAGCAATCCCTTACAATAAATTATTTACTGTTCAGAACTATAGCAGTCAAAGGAGATATTTTGTAATCGCCAGTAATTCTAAATGTTGTGTGTGTCCAGGAGTTCTTCTCAAGCACAGGTGTGGGTGTCCCTGAGGTTGAAGGGTCTCTGTTCCTTAAGGCAGATTCCAAAAAGGGCTGGAAGAAACACCACTTTGTACTGCGGGCTTCTGGGCTGTACTACTGGCCCAAGGAAAAGGCGAAGTCATCCAGAGACCTCGTCTGTCTCGCTACCTTCGATGTTAACCAGGTATGTTACTGTCTGTAGAAAATTGTGTATTCTGAGTACGTAATGCAAAAATAAAATTCCTAATCGAGAGGTCATATCTCTCTCCTCCCCCACAACTGTTTGAAAACTACTGAACCGAACAGGAGGACAGAGACTGCGTTTGTAATTAAGCCATATACCATTTATATTCTGAGTTCAAATGACTTGTGCATGACTTCTTTTAATGTGGGGGCAGTAGAAGTACGGCCGACAGTAGCTTACAATCACTTTGTAGATGCGACCGTTCACATATTTTGTTTGTGACACAGAACATTTCTGACTGACAGGTATATTATGGCGTTGGGTGGCGCAAGAAATTCAAGTCCCCAACAGACTTCTGCTTTGCGATCAAGCACCCGAGGCTGCAGCAACCCAAGTCCAGCAAGTACATAAAGTTTCTGTGTGCCGAAGACCAGGCGACGCTCGACAGATGGGTCATGGGCATTCGTCTTGCCAAGGTCAGTCGTAGCAACTTATATTTCATCATAATTATAAAAATAAAAGAATCCGTATCATCCGTTCCTCTAACACCATTTCCAGTCGGTGCATGTGGTCCTGGGATATTTCAGTTTATTTCCATTTAAATATTATCTTCAGATACTTTGAAGATGACAGGCTTTTGAGATATTGTACTGTGTAGTCTTGTAGAGGTTGACCAGATCTTAGATCCAATATTTTAAAGCGCTAACAAATACCTGTTTATACCAAACATCGTGATCAAAAAAGTAACATTTCTGATTCACGTTCAGGAGGTCCCAAGTTCAAATCTTGCCTCAGATAACAGTGAGGTGTTTGTGACTTTCCTCAATTCACGCACATGTTAACCACAATTGCTTCCTTTTGCATTCTTTCAAAGTTATCATTTGGTCATCCTGTTACTCGCTGCTTCACAAACTTTGTAGTCGTTAAATGGCACGAGAATGAATCATCGCTAGAAATATGTGTTCTTCTCCAAAAGTAAGACACCAGATGCTGTTTTAAGTCGCATTACGTACTAATCATTAAACCTTGATACATTAATGTGATATTCTCTTGCAGTATGGGCGACAACTCCTTGACAGCTACCGCAGCCTAGTGGATGACCTTGCGCAGGAGGACCTGGACTTGTTAGCCCATGCTCGATCGTGTTCTGTCAGCTCGATTGCAGGAGGTGGCACCGGCCAGCCCGCAGGCACACCCTGCAGTCACAGTGGTTCAGAACCTGATCAAGACCATGACCCACTGCAGCCCACTGTGACAGTTACCCCCACGTACAACCACAACTTCCATTCCGCAGTGGATGGGTTGCCAGGTCAGTGGGTGCAAAACTTGGTCTTCACATTGAGAGAAGAACACCGAGTGTGAAATATTGCGATGGAACGTAAATAGATACTGTGTGATGGTGCAGATTGGGTTCAACTGGCTGAGACCGTGCAGAAACAGGCACAGTAATGGGCATTCAGATTCCATGAAAGTAGAAACTGGTCGACAGTCTGGCCAGATACGCAACAGTCCGCTCGTTAAGATGGACTCCATTAAATTTATTAATTGCCCTTCATGGATTAGGCTCAAGCATGTTTTGATTTCTGAGTCATCTCCTTAAAATGTCTTATGTAATTTGGTTTGTATGAATAATAATTTATCATAGTCTATCTTTGTCCGTTTCGTTCATGAGGGTTAACATCAGTCGTGAATCACGTATTCTTCAGTGTAAATTAATTATTTACTTGTGTACATTTCTGTTATTATTTATGCATTAAAATTTTTGATAATACTAACACTTGTGTTCAGGACCACAATTACGGCGGAGGGACTCGTCCCGTAGTAGAGCTTCCAGTTCTAGCTCGAGTGGTTGCATGAGTGATGGGGGGGCACCCTCATCTTGTTGCGAGGTGGCATTTGAATGTGATTTCCCCACAACTGGAACCATCAAACGCAAGCCGTCCATGAATCCCAAGTTGCCCCTCACATCCATCACAAGACAGCTCAAAGAGGTAACAAATGATGTAGGATTTCAGGTGTTGATGTTGATGTGAATATAGATGTTGGCCTTCTTGGTTGTTGTTGTGGTGCCATCATTTTGGAAGAACATACTGCCCCCACCTTCATCTAAATTAAAAACTCTGACCAGTCGTTTGTTCATTTATTATGCCAACCGAGACCATCACCTAGTGGTGCCAAACATTCACACCGGAAGTGACTATCATAATACATGCCAAAACATACAGTTTCATTAGAAACCAGAAACACACAAGACGATAATTTGTTAATTTCGGCTGACTTCATTTAAAAACGCCTGAAGATTTACCAAATGCTTGGCACAAGATACAGCTTGTATAAAACTGAAGATAGGAAGATAATGCCCCGTGCTAAATGATCCTTCTTCAATACTTTTCTTCTTTTTCAGGTTGGTGAGACTGTGGTCGAGGGATCATCTTCGCCTGACACAGACTCGCGTAGTGGTACTCTCACTAGAAATGGAACAAGGCAGAGCAGGCGTCGCTCATCAAATATTTCATCGGAGGAGTCCGGAAGCAATTCCAGCACACTTAAGCGATGTCACAATCACCATCGAGGGTCTAACTCTGGCTCGTCCTCCAGTGCTTCCACGCCGATCAGGGAGCAGCCCATGGAGCTTAGCCCTGTGGAATTCCCAGCACGAGTGCCAGCAAACGATGTGATACAGAATGGCGTTGAAATCACAGAGCCCATGACTCTTGGCTGTGAGCCACAAGATGGTGTGGAAGCTTTTGACTCGTTGCCTCCTCCGCCTCCTGAGATGTTCCAGAGCACCCTTAGTCTGGATTCTCTTCCTCCACCCCCTCCACCATCAGAGCTGCCAGTGTACACAGATCTTGGGGGCAGTTCTCTATCCCTCCTCTCCCTGCCACCACCACCCAGCCCCTGCATCGACTCTGCCACCATCCGTAAGCAACAGAATCTACCACCACATCAAGCGAACAAGCTACCCACTCCTCAGTCATCAGCGTCATCCACCCCCACCAATGTTCTCTCACCTTCTACAACGCCTACTAGAACACGGCCGCCATGCTTTTCCCCCCCTTCCAGTCCCAGGGCTTCCACAACCCCACGTGTGCCTCCCAAACCAACGCCCATCACCTCCAGACAGGGCTCCCTGTCCCGACAACAAAGTCTGGAGAGTGGAAGTTCGTCGCACTATGCTGTTCCCCCTTATCTTGCAGAGCTGAAGGCTGGCTCACCCCTCATGGCTCGCAAAGCATCTGTCACCAGTGCTACAGGATCTAGTCCGAAAAGTCCCATTAGTCCAGCCACCCCGTCATCGCCACCACAGTCAGCTGTTGCACCAAAGAGCCCAATCTTGTTGACCAAACAACGCACGCGGACTGTCACAAAAAAGATCTCATTTAACTTCACTCCTGAAGAGATAGGTGGGGGTAGTAGTGGTACAACTACTCCATCATCTCCAACTTATGGCAGCAACAGGAAACCATTGCCACCAAAACGAAGTGAGAGCACAAGACTGAGCACAACACCCAGTCCTAAGAGGCTCTCAGATGCGGACTCTACCCTTACACCACCTCCCAAGGACTTCCTTAAGGACCTGCAGCGAATCATGCGCAAGAAATGGCAGGTGGCTCAGAAGTGCAAGTTGGATTCATCCACAACACCACATGAGGTGCTAGGCTTCCGGGATCCTCCTCCGCCAGTTGCCGATTATCGCGAGACGAATGTGAGTAATTGGGTACAGGAACACTATGGCGCGAGAGACAATCTTTACGAGAATGTCTATTTGGTTGGAGGCGGTCCGTCTGTGCAGGAGGTCACCTATGCATCACGGAGTCAAACGGTGCCATCTTCAGTAGACTACTATAGCAGGCAGCAGGCCAACAGCGTCGCCATGGCGATAGCCAACAAGAAGAGGCCGCCGCCTCCTCCACCAAAGCGCAGCGAGACCACGCAGCTGTCAACAGCGCGGCTTCACTGACAGTACAAGCAGCGCTAGTCACTCTCATGCTGACAATATAATTAATTTATTAATTTTCATCTGTTTCTGCGGCCCCTCGTCTTGTACTTCCGTTCGTGTGTGATGACTATTCGACAAATTTTTATGGTGCATTGATTTTTTTTAAAGTATAAATGTATTCTTATGTGTAAATAATTTTTTTTGTAACATCAGTTAGATGGATGCTTCAACGGATTCTTTTTTAATTATCGTAATTGAGCGCAATTGAAGAAGACATTTCTGATGAATGAATTCTGCAGTGAATGAATGTTTCCTGTCCTGTAATTGTGTTCCCAAAGTCTGGGGAAAGAAGCGTGGATTTGTAAGTGTTCAAAGTGTTCGAGCAAAGAACGAAAGGTGTGGAAACGAGAGACGAGTCTGGAGCCAATGATGGTTTCTCTTGATCGATTTCCTATGAGTGGAGAAGGGATCACAAATTTCAGGCATAACTCGTAATAAAATTATACGGTCCCCACGTGTTTTCGGCTGCAAATGAAGAGTCTCGTCTAGAAGAAACTCCAAGTAATGGGTTCATATAAAATATTAATTTTTTTAATTCAGTGAAGTCGTCTGAGATTTTAGGTTCTCGCAGCAGTGAGGATATCCTTTTGGGTTGTGACGGTGTGAAGACTTGTGGGTAGGTACCTGCTATTTTCATCTTTAGGGCTGAATATGGAGACGGGGTATTTTTCTAAAATGTGGATAAAGAGTCTATGTGGCATCAAAACCCGTAACAACAACATCGACAGTACCGTCTTCTGGAGTAATCACTTGTGTCCGCGTGTAATTAAAATCTAGCACGACAGAGGCAGTCATTGCAGTGAAGACGTTCAAGAGCTTTGATTGGGGATTCCGTAATGTACGAAATGACAAATTATTCTTCGTTATCAGAACTCTTAAAGCCGCTTTTAAGATGTGTGATCTCAAAAACTATTATTAATATCCCCGATAAAAAATGCTGTTGTCAAAGTGCAGTTTGGCTTCGCTGCTGTTAACAGCAAATTTAATTACGTGATGTAATAGCAGATTTCTGTCGTTCCTAATCTCTGATGGATACACTTTTCTCACAGTTGCATTCCTGACTCTTTACTGTTACCAACTTTATAATCCTGAAAACATGATACAGCATG